CCGGCGTTACACACGCTGCGCTGCCTTGTCCCCGGAGGCCCCGGCGGGTGCTGTCTCTGAGTCGAGGCGAATCGCCTCGCGCATTTTGCTAGCGAGGGAGGGGGCCCGGCGGGGAGCGTGAGGAGATTTGGCCGAGGCTGAGGAGATTCCTGGAGGTTTCCAGGGTGGTCGCTGGTGGAGCCCTCCGTGCCCCCTCAGGGTGCGCCCCCTGGGCTTCTGCGACCTTCCTGACTAGGAAATGCTGCACTTTCTTAAATGAAAGGGAAGCAACAAGAGAAGGGAGGAGAAAAACTGCTGCAATCTCCTAAGAAGGGGCTAATTTCTTCTTTAGAGGGAACATTTTTGTAGATGAAACGGGTGTTTGCTGGAGCACCTGGGCTGAGTCCTGTGGGACTGATTGATTAAATTAAGTTCCTGCAGTACAGGAAAGAAGGATACCATATCCTATATGTTTGTGGAGAATACATGTTATGGCTCTTGGGAGTTTGAGATAAGGTTGCAGGAGTCAACAGAAAATTTTATGTTCCTTTTTTTAATTTTAAAGTAAGCTTACGAGGTCATAGTCCTAAATTTCCATTGAGTTAATGGGCATTGCATGCAGTAGGAATTCAGAATCAGTGCTTGAATTCATGTAAAATAACTGAAAATAAATGCCCAAAGTCTCTGGGGAAAAAAAAAAATTAAAGTAGTGCTGATACGTGGTCTGAAAGGAGAGGCACCAGTTTTGCTTGCGAGCTTTAAAACAAAAAATGCAGTCTGAAGATCAGAGAAGATGGAAGTGGGCAAAATTGAATTATATAATTCAGTCTTCAGCCTGAAAAAAAAACGAAGATGTAATCCTACAAGAGGGCCTGGTACCTGTGAAACTATTATTTTAGCATTTTCTTTCCAGATATCACACAGGATTGCCATTCCTCTCCCATTGTAGACACGTTCTTGAGAAACGATGAGTACTTTGGCACTGTCAAAGTCTCCAGTCTGTAATAAAAGAACAGTGTTTTGGCACAAGATTGTCACAACACCACTAAGGTGACAAGAACTGTTGTATTTCTTCATAAATTCTTTATTGTCAGCTTCACCACTGGGTTTCATATGTGGCAGGGCTTGAACTCATCTGGGTTCAAAAGATGGAGGGCAATGCTGGCATACCTTTATTTTTGCCTTGCAGGGTTGGTTTTTTTCCCTTCAGAGGAAAGCAATGTGACCAGAACAACGTTCTTTCATCCATATCCAACCCAAAAGAGCAGTCCTGTACTCCAGCAGGGCAAAAGAATAAGCAGAA